GAATCTCGCTGGTCATTGCCTCTTTCCATGTAGCAGCCTCAGGGCTCGCCATCGCTTCCTTGTAGTTAGCTGGCTCATCCAACTTTACTAATGTACAATCATTGATAAACGTGGCACCATATGATGTTACATGGTAACCATAAAACTCAGGTGGCATGCTAATTCTACTGGATCAACAAAGAGGTAATGAATTGTCAACGGCGTAGCAAGCCTTTCTCCATACGGTGGCGGCGTTGTAACCTATAAATAGAGCTGAAAATTAACCCTATTGACATATCTTCAACCCTAATTAATTCCCTACACAAATAAACCCCATAAGTGTCGTTTTGAGGGTCTAGAAGGCGGCCGGAGGACCGTTAAGCTGACATGGAGCAAAGATCTAAAGGATTTAAGAGCGATTCATGTTGGGAATCATTTGGTTTGTTGTTCCGAACATGATTAGCATTCCGTTATGATTTTCATATGTTTTACTTTCTGATTTAGGGTTTCAAAAACCATTTACTTTGTGTTAGACTAGATGAATCCTTGAAATTATGGATTAATTTACAATTTGGATTATTTATTCTTATTTATTTGTTACGATAGCTTGATAAAGAACCTTTTTGTGTTAATGATAACTACGTTTCTGTTTATTGTTGAGTTTTACTAAGATTAGATGATCAATTTGTTCTGGTATGCTTGTATCTTATGATTTTTGATCATCAAAGTTATAAGACTAGTGTCTTGATAAAAAAAACCTAGGGTTAAATAGAAAATTTGTTAAATCAATGTGAAAGCTAATATATGAGGATCATTCATGCATTTAATTAATGTTACTAACCATTAATGTCATTCACTAGTTCAAGTGTAGCATAATTCGAACTTAATACTAGTATTCTGGTTTGCTTGTCCACTTGATCAATGAATGAATGAACTTGTTTTACTAACACCCTGCTCCCGAGTTGTAGCAAAGAAAAGAAGAGAAGAGAAAAAAAAGTAAGGAGAGAAAAGAAGACAAAATAAAGGAAAAGAACTTTGTCTTTTGTGCTCCCGAGTTGGAGAGAAATGGAAGGAAAGTTAAATATTTTGTTCTTTCTTTCCAAATCCTTCCAAATCGGAAGGAAAGTTAGGAGGGAAAGTGATCCTTCTATTTCCTTCCACTTCCTTCCTTTAATGAAACTCGGGAGCACCAATTTCTCTTACTTTCCTCTCATTTCCACCAATTTTCTTTCTTTTCTCTCCTTAAGTTGAACTCGAGAGCGGGGTGTAAAGGATTAGTCTTTTGATCATAAATTCTAATCATATTATGAGTCGGTGAATAATAAATAAATATCCATTGCACTTAGTAGTTAGCTAGTATTTTGAGATGAAATCCAGTCTGAACCAAAGTACCCAAAGTGATTTGTTTCCATCAGTTTATCTAGTTAGTTTATCTGTTGATTTAATTGAGATTTAATTATAAACAACCCTTTTTATTGTTTTCATGTGTTTAGTTTAACCTATAATCAAGCATCCTAATATTAATTCACTATCGTTCCCCCAAGTGTTCAACACTTGGTATTATCACAACTATACTATTGCACGAATAGGTTCACTGCATGGTGTGTGTATTAGTCTAGTTGCAATAAAATCTGATTTATAAATTTAAAACTTGAGTAATTAATATGTGTGTGTATCTATATCTATATATATATATATATATATATATATATATATATATATATATATAATCACGCATCACTTACAGTTATTGATTAACTGTTTTGTAGATACTCTTTAGATCATAGGAAGGGCAAGACTTTACTGTACACGTGCATCGACATCACATTTTATTTTTTCCGCTTGTTCTATTTTATACTCTTATTTGAATAAGTTGACTTTTGCTTGTCAAACAATGGTGTTCGTTATAAATAAATGAATGTTTGAATAAGATATTGTCTTTTAAAAATGAAAATTTTATTGTGAAAAATGGGATTTACAATGCGAGCAGGGAATAGGAACTAAAGCATGTTAGTTCCATAGAGTTTTACACATGTTATATTTAGACTTATAACCACTAAATCCCTAATTGTATTTGGACCTGTTAATGATTTTTTTAATTTTTTTTTATTTCTATCAATTGAGAAGGGCAATTAGGTAAATTCATAGATAAGAATTTCCATTTTGTGTTAAATTTAATTGAATTTATGATTTTCTAATGTCTGCATTTGTTTATTTCACTTGATTTATTTGAAAACTCTATTTCAAGTGGTGACTGCTTGAAGTGAAGTCTCATGTGAATATGTTGGAATTTCACAATCTGTAATACAGCTTAAGAAGTCCCCTTAAGAAGTTTTTTATGCACTCAAGAATAAAACAATTGACTTCATTTTCATTGCTTATCTACACACAATCCGTACATAGATCTTTGGTTCAAAAGCATTAAAGATATAAATTTATAAAACATTATAAAACGGATCCAAGTTTTATCGAATAGCAAATTTCAAAGTTGACCCCTTAACTGCTTTTTAGGATTCGTGACTGTTTGGCTAAGTTTGCATAGATAAGTAAGCATTAATAATTTAAATTCGATATCTTTATTGTCTTTATAATATAGTTATAATGATTAATTGGTGTCATGTGATTTGTAGATTCAATTTGTTTTCCATACAGATGAAATCAGAACCAACCCCACAAGATGAAAAAGAGAGATTGAATAAGTTACTTCCATGAAACAATCTGGAAATGTGTCCTTAAATTCTTACGTACTGCTCTTAAGAACATCATAATCAATGAATGTGTTCCCTACAATGCCCATTTGATTCAATTCTCTTCATGGATGGGTGGTGATCGTGATGACAATTCAAGGGTAACCCATGAGGTAGCAATGGATGTTTGCTTACTTGCAAGATGATTACTGTTATTAATAGTTGATTTATGTAGGCTGTTGTTGAGCAATCCGTTTCAACTATCCTACTTTACTTTCTTTTTGTTACCTCATTGCCTTCATTATACTTTGAAATTTATAGTGAAATATCGCATTTCACTTACTTTTATTAGTTTCCTATTTTTAATCGCATACATGGTTTACATTTTTGTAGGTGATTGATTTGGGTTTGATTTCTTGATCAACCATTTCAGTAAGTCATACAGTGTGTATGCATTATTGACTGATATGATGGTAAAAGGAAAATGACTTTCATGTGAACCAAGGGTAAGTTGTTAAATTCGCTGAAGAATCGAAATTATAAGAAAAAGGAATATCTGCGATTTTATCATGTCAAAATGATGAAATTCGTTTTTTAATATACTTTTGAAGACAGATCCAACACCAAAACCATAGTCCAAACGACAAAATCAGAAAACTATGAAGTTCCAACTACCATTTCGATGACTATAATCATAAACTATTTTTTGCTTTTTGGTTATTTTTTGAAAAAAAAAATAGACTATATTTGACTTCTTCTCTTTATTTTCTTCCGAATGCTTAAAATATAATTATTTTATTCTTAAAGTAATTCCATTTCTTATTAATTTATATTGTAATTATCATTATTAAATACAAAAAAAAGTGATTCATGACATGATTATTTCCTTATTCATCTATGATTATTTGTTACTTTATATTCTGCATAATCGTTATCAAAACCGATTAATTGCATATTACTAATCGTTTGCTAAACAATATATTTCATACCTTAAATCGATTTAGAAGATCTGCGATTGTTATTTTTTAAATAATTTTGTTCTTTCTCTATTTCTCCATATACGCTACACAAGTAAAATCATGGAAAAACTAATTCCAATATGGGTATCAATATTTGTAAAGATTTATAAAGTAAATAAAGTAAATAGGTCGAGTATAGAAATGTAATATTGTAATGTTACAAGTTAATTATTTTCTTAATAACAAAAAATCAATATAAAAACAGTGTTTTTATTTTTTTATATATTAAATATTATTAAAGTATATATATATATATATATATATATATATATATATATATATATATATATATATATGGGAAAAGTGAATATACCCTTAAGGGTATATAAGCTTAGGTACCCAAACTTATCATACTACGTCGTTTTGTATCATATATATACATTGTAATTGTCCAATGTTCTTATAATTTAACTTCTAACTTGATTTACTTTCAAGATTTTTATAAATTTCACATTTATCTTCATTTTACATAATTTTTATTTTCAACTATAATATATATAGCCTAGTAGTTGTTCGGTAAAAAAAATGTCATGTAAGAATAAGACAATAGTGAAATTTTAAAAATCTTGAAAGTAAATCAAGTTAGGGATTTAAGTTTAACAACATTATAATCAATATATCAAATAAAACTACGTATTATGGTGAACTTGGGTACCTAAGCTTATATACCTTTAAGGGTATATATATATATATATATATATATATATATATAGAGAGAGAGAGAAACAAAAGTTCAACAAGAAACCATTTTAAACTATAGAACCAAGGAACCATTACTTTTTCAAGTTTTAGATCTTATTATTTATCGAAAAAAAATTCTAAAAATATAGAAATTCATAACTTATTATCTTCTTTCCATTGATATCAAATTTGATAACTTTTTTTTTTTTTTTTACTTTTTTTATCTATTCAGATTCACATATGAATATCTATATTTTTTGTTTTTTATTTTTGATGAAAAATTTGCTCTAAAAGTATTGGTTCCTTGGTTCTAAGGTTTAAAATGGTTCCTTGTTGAACCCAACCCTAGATCAAGAAAGACATGAATATATATAGGATAGGTTATAATTAATTAACAGAAAATAATAAGAAACAAACAAAACTAGATCAAGAAAGACATGAAAACTAAATAATTGAAAGGTAAAGGCTTGTGTAACTTTATAGAGATCTGGTCAATCTTCTCAAATACCTTAACGGACACAAATAACTAAATAAGAGGAGAAGAGAGTTGGGAGAAAAGTTAACCATGAACTACTTTGATCTTAATTGAGGGATATACGTGATTTGACAGAAATACCCTTCAATAAAAAGGATACCCATGAACTACTTTTTTATTGGCATTACTTGCATGTGTTGCAAAACAAGTTTTCCATCATCCAAACATCATAAATATTCACATTTTTATTCATAGATACTCACAATCACAAGACTTTTAGACAAGCACTTCAAATAAAACAAATAACCATAAAGCTTCAATGTGACACTGTCAAAGAAAAAAAAATTGTCAAAAATCATACAACTAAATTTATTACTGCAGGGGCAAATTAGTCAAATAATAAAACTTCAACATTTGAGAATTGAATAGATTGATCTTACCAAATACCAAGCACGATTGTCAAATATCGAAATTGATTATTTGATCTGCCTCATAATAAGATCCAATACCTAGTTCTTTGATCTGCAATAAAATAAGTTTTTTAGGGCTATTTTTTATGATGCGAACAAAGGCATTCATGTCTTTTGCATATACCATAAATTTAGTGTGACAATACTATTATTTTTTTAGCTTATTGAAATACAGTGTTTAGTGAGACCAGTAAAGTAACTCATAAGCTAGCTTTTTAAAAAACTATCTTAGATATCTTATTGATACACGCTTATAGGGCTTTTTCCACAAGTTTTCCAAATATACCATTTCATGTCATTTAAATTATATATCTAAAATTCTAAATGTCATTTTACGTCATTTTATATTCATCATCTAGTTTATATTCATCATCTAGTTTATCAGGTACTTTTTACCAAACACTGTTACTTTATCAGCTACCAGAGAGAACAATATAATATAGTATCTTAGGTTAAATACCTTAGGTACTTCCGTTGTAATAGTGACATTTGGAGAGCTATTAAGGAAGTAGTTTTTGACATGATTAGGCACTATCAACATGGAATATTTCCCTCTGTGAGACACTTGGCGTATATTTAAATGCTTCAAGTTGTTGAATGGTGAAGGTTGATATGATAGTACATCCCGATACATGGATAACCCCTTCGCACAAAAATTAAGAAACACAAATAAAGATTTTGCATTTAAAACTAAATCCAAAAAAGTTCATAAAAAAGCTAATGCATTTGTCTTTTGCACAAAAAGAAATCAAAAAAATTGAAAGTTTTGTCCGGTCCGAGTCAAATCCAGTCTAATTCATGTCAAACACAGTGCAATCTATTATATATTACCTGAATGACATCTGAGTAAAGATTAATAAATTTGGTACTATGGAATTCCTTGAGCACCTTTAAAAGCTGGAAAGCATCTTCCTTCTTAAAATCAGAAAGTGGATTTGGCATAGGGAGATGAAGATCCACTTTCTCTAGATTCTGGAAACCATTTGTTAAAAGACACAAAGGGCACTCACCACCATAGACAAAAGATTGGAGATTAGATGCTGAGATGAAAAGCTTGTTAAGGAAACAATCCGTTATAGTCAGATCCTCAAGTCTTGGAGCACACACCTTAAAAACCTTCACTTCCGCCATGTAACACTCGGTGATACTCAGTTTCTTCAAATTTACACACTTGGAGAACAGATCAAGGTACTCGTGATTTTCATTTCTTCCATCAGTAATTACGAAGTCGTTGAGATGTAAAGTGGTTAGATTTGGAAGATCCCAAGGATACTGTGGTGCGATGCAGTAATCTTCATGGATGTTTTTTAGGGTGAAGTGTTTGAGAGATTGGGATTCGAAGATACAATTTGGGAGTTTTCTGTCTCTTTCGAAAGTGGAGATGTTTAGGTTACGAATGTTGTGAGATACCACGTAATTTAGAAGGACTTTGACGAGAATCTGGCTGAGTGTTCCATCGAAACTGAAATCAAGTGAGGAAACATCGGTTTGATCATTGCGATTAGCTATAACGTGTCTTGCGAATCTTATAAATTGACCTAATTGTTGGAATTCGGAAGTTGAGAATTTGATATGGGTAAGGGTAGTCCAGATGAACTTCCATTTTGAAGATAAGACGCATGTTTGAACAGCGTATTTCATGTCCATGAAAGAGAGAATATGATGAATAAGATCGTGAGGTAAGCTGCTTAATCTATCGGTTTCTGCATCAACCACAGGTTCATCGAGGACAGAATCCATTGTTTCTTTCTACCAAAAACGGTGATCTGCATTGTTGTTCAACACGGAAAAAAGAATCATTCGAATTTTAAAGCAGATGATTAAATATGAGCTTAATAAACATGTTAACAGCAACGATTTGGCTTAATTGATAAATAAAAAACCCTAAATTGCCTTCGTTTCGAAGTTCAAACGAGATCGCTGCTCCAAATTACAAAAAGGGTCTAAATTGGCTTGAGGTAAGATCAAATCAGGTGTGATTTCGGAAATGCATGTAATAATTTCAAAAGAACGTTTAACTCTGCTGATTCTTTAATAGTGTGAAGTACTGAAGTAGAACAAAACATGTAAAAAGAAGATGAATCGGACAGAAGGACAGAAGAAAAAGCAGGAAAAGATGAATTAACAAAAAAAATCTGAATCTATGTAGTAATAATCAGAATTGATAAGTAAGATTTGATCAAGTAGAAACTATAATACCTTTTGAAGGTGTCGCAATGGCTTCAAAGGTGTTGTCGACTGTGACTGATCATCAATGGAGAAGGAAAGAAGTAGAGAGGGAGGACACTGCTTTGACGAATGGTTACATCACGGATATATCCGAACCGATAAATTAATTAAAAAAAACGCAATACAACAAACTTTTATATCACAATAGCCCCACCAACAACATTTATAATCAACAAACTTCTATTACACAAATGGTCCCACCAAAAAGATATATTTGTTTTTTTAGTGTAACTTTATCTTTATCTTCTTTCATCTACTATGATTTATTTATGGGAAATTGACTTAATAAGGTAATTAATTTTTCGATTTGTTCACGTCTGGTTATGATCAGATGTAACCTGCTACAGCCGGTCATAATGGTCATATGTGAACACTTTCAAAAAGTTCGTTACCTATATATGTACATAAAAAAGATAGCTTCCCAGATGTGAACATACCGAAAAGTTAATTACCTTATTAAGTCCATTTTCCTTTAGTTATTTATTTATATATTTATTTTTTAAATATTCATAAACGATCGTCTATTTAGTAATGAGTACGTTGCAAAAAAAACTTCTTTGCATTGTGAAAGAATCCTAACCAAGGTCATACGGATTTTTAATATTGTAAAGAATTTCCACCAAATGATATTCACACTGAAAAATCAAAAGGAAAAATAAATAAAGCACCGAAATAGGGTAAAAAAGAAAAAAAAATTACGGAAAAAATAGATCTCCTATACCAATTTGGACTGAGTTAGTGCTGACTGAGTTAATATTGATTGAGTTAGTGTTGATTGAGTTAGAACTGCTGACTGAGTCTATATCCGACTAAAACCATGTTGTTTGATTATATCTCTAACTGACTGTGACGGTCGATGAAAATTACCATATTACCCTTATTTTGTCTGTTGTATATATTAATATCAAAAGTAGACTATTCTTTTTTCATTTTCTCGATTATTTTTGTAATTGTCAAATTTAAATTGTGTATCAAATGCATTAATTGCATTTATGTAATTGTAAGAAAATGTTTTCAAGAATTTTGCAATAATCACATAAACAATATAATATTTCAGTTCATTAGAATTCTACAATATTAAACTTCATTAGAATTCTATTGTTTTGAACCAATCATAAATTATGACCAATAAACACACAAGTTATAGATACATTACAAAAAATGAACATTGTGTCATACTAGTAATTTATAAGCCACGTAATTATGCAAATTCCTAACATCTTCACAGACGATAAGCAATGAGGTGGTGATCAGCATACCGACTACATTGAGCCACCACCACCCTTTGTAATATAGGCTTTGGCTCCTTCATTATACATCATGCAGCTGCAACCTGATATATTTAATTCCCCAACTGGATGTGATCCACATACATGCATGCATGTTCCCTTTTGGTTTCCTTAAAATACATACAAGTTTCTACAAACTAGTTGTTCAAGTGAGCCAAAATTCTGCCCACCTGCAGAAAATATATATAAATGAAAAGGCCAATATAACTAGTGCTTCTTGGGAAATTCATACTATCAAAAGCTAATAATAATATAAATCCAGAATTTGACAGTAAGCTTTCATTAGAACTTGAATAATTTTATTCAAGCGTTTCAACAAACATCTAAGGAGCATGTTAAAGAATCATGTTTTAATAGTCAAATTGATACACAAACTCCATTGTAATGTAATCTCCAAAGTATAAGCAACAATATTAAAAATAAGTGAATATATGGAGAGATAAAACAACAGGTGCTTACTTCATCATGGTCATGGATCAAATAGATACGAGATTTAGCTTTCGCCCATTTCACATAGAAAAACTATTGATAATAGATTTATTTTTCACCTAGAAAAAAGATCAACAATTGATAATAGACCAACAATGAAGAACCATAAAGTCCCAATTCAATAATCGATATTATGAACTACACTCATAATTAACTAAAAAACAAAAAAATCTTACCTTACCAGTTACCATTTACCATTTACCTGTGATTGTAGGAGATGCCTACCCATCACACTATGTATAGCAATCGATCACACTATGTATAGATTTCAAAAACAATTTCACGAAATCGATTTCATGAATTGATTAAAGAGGGATTAGAAACATCAGATGTGATTGAAGAAATCCACGACAGGAAGAAGCATTGTGAAGAAGGCGTCGATGGCAGAAGAGAAGAGCAAAGTTCGGCGAAGACAGAAGCGCGGGAGGGAGAAACGATTTTGTCGTTCACGATAGGCAAAGTGGGGAAATGTTTCAGTCAACTTACTTTTTACCGCGGGTCGAATCAGACAATTTCTAAGGAGCGAATATTGGACCGGGTCAGACATGATTAGCCCTTTATCAAACAGACTGATAGGACTGAGTCGGCCAAAAATATTGACCAGAAACAGAACCTTATTCTCTACTCTTCCAAAAGTTCCATCATTGAAATTCAAATTAGAGAATGATTTATTGGTGAAGAAAAAACAATATTTCAATTATAATTTTTGAAAATATGGATTTAAATTTAATGGTGAAGAAAAAACAATATTTCCATTATAATTTTCAAAATATGGATTTAAATTTTTCATAACAAAAAATTTTCATTTTATTAAAGTGAAACTTCTCAATTATAAATCCTTTATTAAGAAAACCGTTTATTCAAAAATACATTTATTGAAAATCGGAGTAATATAAGAAACACGGAATCCTCAATACTGCTGATGAGTGTACAGTCTCGCCTTCGCCTTCCCACGGTCACCGATAAAACCCGCAAAACATAAACAACTGGGTAAACACAAAGCTTAGTCAGTTTCCCCCAAAATACCCCATACGATAAACATAGAAGCATGCATAAGGACCCACAATCATCGAATTGGAATGCACAAGCCCAATCAGTCATCGGACCGGAATGCCAACATGTCACGGGTCCAATCAATCATCAGACTGGAATACTCAGGGTTTGTTGGCCTACCGCCTCAACCCAACCGCTCTTCCCGAGCCTCCGTGCCTACGACTTATAGTCGGCCCTCACTAAGTATCTTGGCCTACAGCACAAACCAGGACCGCCTCAACCCTCTACCACCACATGTCGACATATAAACAATCATGGATCAAGCAGGCACACAATACAGGAAAACATCAATCATACATCTCCCTACTGCATAATAGTCCTCTCACAGCACACTGTCCCTTTACCAGCTAGCCTCCATTAAATGCGTAACCATAAGTAACCATAGGTGAGATAGCCACCCGAATAGATGATCTTACTCTAGAGCCACAACTAAACAAGGAAGAGGTAAGAAAGACGTAACGCCCTGTTCCGAATCGATTCCTAATTTAAATATGTAGCCCGAAGATCAGTCATCATAAGGCTTAGGGGCTTTGGAAAGGCAAGATCTAGACCCATTTGGGTGCGAGAAATGTAATTGAGGTGATCTGGGTGTTCGGTTCGCGTGTTAGAGCCTGGGGGTATTTCGGTAAAGTGTCAGTTCGGGCTTTTATGAAAATTTTGATTTTCGTTCGGAAGGTCTTAAGGCCGGTATGAGTTGATAGAAGTATAGAACTTCTCGTTACCTTTTTATGGTATAAGGATCGTCGGAAACAGACTTGTAACGAAGAAGTTATGGCCTTCGGAAGATTGGTAAAATTAGGGTTTCACCAGGTACGCAGGGCGTACATGAGTGTACTCATGGCGTATTAGAAGGAGGTCCAGTACACGGGTTGTCCATCTTAAGTATGTTGGGCGTACTAAGCCAAATGGTCGCGATCATACTTTGGAGTACGCATGGCGTACAGGAAGTACGTTGGGCGTACTCCAGTCAGTCCCAAACCCTATTTTTGGGCCTTGGACCCTATTTAAACCCCTTATCTCATCATCTAACCCTAGTACCTTCAGCCTTCACCCCTTTAAACCGTAGAAATGAAACCCTAGCCCCCATTTGAGTGGTTTTTGAGTTTTTGGGTGTTATTCCATGCTTTTGGTGTTCATAGAAGACGAAAGAGCTTCTTGGAAAAGTGTGGGATTGCTTGAGGCTTTTAGATCCAGGCTTGTTGCATCTTGATCTACATCTTGAAGGTAAAAAGTTTCTACCTTGGTGATCTTATATGTTAGATCTAGTTCATGGAGTATTTTGTGCATTTTTGGGTCTTTTTGTTAAAGATGTGTTTTTGATCTAGTCCAGAAGCAATGGGTACTAGATCTTAGCTCCATTCAGCCCCTAGGTTCATAAAAATGCAAACTTTATAGTGAATTTTGGTCCATGCAAGCATTAAGAACCTTGTTAAGTTCTTATTGAGCTTTTGAGACCTTTTTTGCCATGTAAGCACGTAAAGTTGCCAACTTTACATGATAAGTAGTCTTATGGAACCAGATCTGAGAGTTTGGCACATTGTCTTAACCAATTAAGGGCTTATTACAGTGAAAAAGGGGTATGAGGAGTACGTTGGGCGTACGTAAGTGTACGCTCAGCGTAATACTGCTTTTGTGCTTTAAGGACTTGTACTTTGTGCTTCAAGGTCGTGTATGCGGGGAATACATCTTGAGTACGCTGGGCATACTCTTCAGTTCATCATTATTAGGGCTTTTGAGTTTGGGCCTTGTTGGGCCTATGGGTTTCTGTTTTTGTGCCATAGTTTGGCTGAGGACTTTCTTGGTATTGGTCCCTTAAGAATATTAGGCCCAATTAGGAAGTTGGGCCATATTGGGCTTTTGTTGCTTCTGTATTGGGCTTTGGATTTCCATTTTGGGTTTTGGGCCTTCTATGCTTGTTGGGCTGGGCTTTGGTTATGGAACAAGTAAGGAAAGGGTAAAATGGTCTTTTACCCTTTAGGAAATTAGTTTATGGAGTGGGCCTCAGATTTTGGGTTATCAAGTTATTTATTGATTAAGATTTGTATTTATTGTTAGTTGGCGCAAGGTTATCCGGTTCGGCGGTGCGAGTAGTCATTTGAGTATCTGCGGATTGAGGTAAGTTGTCCTCACTGTACTTGCGGGTCGAAGGCACCAATGCCGACCCATTAGATTGACATCCTGTTATGCATGCTACTATACTGTTATGATCTGTTAGATCGGTATCCAGGTAGATAGGATGTTGCTATGCTATTATGATATGTTAGATCAGTATCCTGGT